AGCTTGGTATACATGGAACGTCCAACACTGATCCTGGTAACTGAAACTTGGCTAACTAGTGATATAACTGACTCAAAGCTGGTAACTGATAGGTGTGTCATACATAGGAATCATAAAGTGGACAAAAGAGGAGGCGGGTGTCTAATATATGCTCCTAAATCTGCTGACTCCAATACTTTTATAAACCTGACTATTGACAAACTCCCAGAATCTAAGTGGATAAGCATCCACACGAATGAAAATAAAATTCTCGTGCTATGTATATACAGAGCCCCTAACAGCCCTAAAACGGCTAACACGGTTATCGGAGGAATGCTGGAGTACATACCTGTGCTGAAATTTGACTGCAAACTAGTTTTTGGCAATTTCAACCTCGCCGGAGTGAACTGGGATACCTGCACTGGACCGAGAACCCATGAGGAGTTCCTAGAAGTTATAGATATAGGAGGATGGAAGCAGTGTGTACGCTTCCCAACACGACATAACAATATTCGCGAATTCATCTTTTGATTTGTGACCCTTCTGTACATATTTGGTTGGCTCTCCCGTTGTGCTTTCATTCAGAGCACTCTTCGAGCTTAAGTCAAGGTAGATAACTTATATCACACCTTTATTCATTAAATTTGATATATCATTTGTGTAAAATACAACTCCATCCCAGTCGCACTTCCCAACTCAAGTCTTTTTACTTTGATTTCCTTCATCAGTACTTACACTTTAGGAAGAGTACCGCTAGGGTTATAAAGCGGTGAAGATTTTAGTGTGGTTATTTTGAGGTCTATCTAAGGTCTAGTCTAACACTTACAACGCCAGAGCGGATCCGCCTACAATTCTCAACATAACCTGGAAAAATAAGTACAAGTTAGGTGAAATCAACTTTATTATACAAAATATAGCATCAGTGGTAAAGACATTAAGAGATAGCGGTAGTTGTGGGATAGATGATATACCATCTGTCATATACAAAAACGGTGGTACGGATATGATAGTATAAGTACTTAGAATATTTACTATCTCACTAGTGACTAGGACCAATCCTGAAACTTGGAAAACACGTACATATTACCTAAGCATAAAAAGGGGTCAGAACTAGTGCATGCAATTATAGTCCTATCAATATAACACCTGTCATATCATGGATCACAGAGAAAGCAATCAAAGACCAAATGTCAAACTACTTTCTAAAACATAAACTCATCAACCGGTCACAACACGGATTCCTCAAGAAAAGATCATGCTTCACTTGCCGTATAGACTTTCTCAACGAAGCCACCTATAGAAGAGATAGGAGAGAACTAGTAATTACCCTCTATTTCGATATAAGACAAGCCTTCAACACAGTACCACATAGTCTGCTAGTCAGCAGGTCATGCTCACTAGAGATACGCAAACCCCTCTCAACTGGATAAAATCATTTCTCTGTGACAGAAACCAGACAACAAAAGTGGGCATATATGATTTAGAATAATTAACTCTAATGATTTTGCGTTAGGACTACAATGTATTCACAGTTAAACTAATTCACCCATAAAATACCATATGCATGAATTGATATCTCACCCAATACGTATCCTCGCCTAACTTCCCTTGATCTTTGGCAGAGGTATTTTCTTAGTACTGCCCTCTTTGGCGACAGTTGGAGGCTCACGTACGTTTCCCAGGGTGACGATCACAAAGAAACTGGACCTTCATCGATACCCCCGCGCACACATCGCGTAGTTCCCGCCGTCTCATATCCCCGTGAAGCGGTTGTGGGATTCTCTGCCATTGAGACAAAATGAGTGCTAGGGCCATCCTCCAGCTATTTCCCTGTTCCTTGTTTCCCTTTGATACCTCCACGATCATCCACCATTCCCTGTATCAGAGCTGGAATTTAACGGAGTTGCATACTCATCATGAAAAGCTCTACAACTACGCTCAACTTCACGTTCGTCTCTGGCGGCACCCTATGTTTCACTGAAAACTTTCATTGACACAGTAATATTTCTGGGGCGTTTCGTTCGGTAATAACACAAAACTATACTTTGCCGCTTTTGCAAATAGCCACAACATCAGATAAAGTCACATCCTGCTATGTGGATTCCTAGTTTATTCACACATTTCTGGATAATTCCCTAGGAAACCGCCAGTTTCTAGTTCTGGAGCCAAGTGAATAGCCACAGAAGTGATTTGCTGGGTCTTATTCCTGCCTTGTTACCCACCAGACAGATCACAGATTAAGAAAAGGCACAAACAGCGAAGAAAATTTTCATTTCGACGATTCATTTTCCTGAGCTGTACAATCGTAATTATAATTAAACACATAAGTTTTTGGCCAGTCAGATACTGGCAAACTTTGTCCTTGAAAATTCTACTACATAATGTGAGGTGTAAGAAGGGATGAGTAATTGTAAGTTAGAAAGGAGACAGAAGTTGGCATGACCTAATAAGTGTGAGATAATGACTAATCAATAAGCTAGTGTAGAGTGGACAGAAACTAGTAGATACAGTAGTTTTGTATAAGATCTGTGTGAAAAAGCAATGTTATTAATAAACAGTAAAAGAGTAGTAATAAAATGTGGATGGTGGGAATAGTAATAATAATAAAAGTATTAAGAACAGTTATAATAATAATAATAATAATAGTGAACTTACATATTATAAGAGAGGAGAAAAATTATAGTAAGAAATTTACTCTGGCCATGGTAGGGCTAGAGAATGTATGTATCGTTTTTGTATGCATAGGTCCGGTTTTATGTCACGAATAGCTAATGCCTCAGCTATGTACAGATGTCGTATCCGGAGTCCTTTTGTACGATATTGAGGGACTCTGTGTACCACTGTGAAGCATTCGTGTGGGGGTGCTCGATGTCCGGAGATAACAAGGTGTTCGAGGATTGAGCTGTTGCTATTCTTCTTTTCTCCTCTGGCTAACCAAGCTGGGCAGTGTTCCAGGATACGTTTGTGGACTTGACGTTGCGTACGGCCGATATACTTTGCTCCACACGAGCAAGTGAATTGATAAATACACATTGAAGTGGCCAAAGGCGGTATCTTGTCCTTAACGTTAGACTGGATTAACTGTCTGCAGGAGAATGTTATACGTAGAGTGGCTGCTGGGAATGTCTTCTTCAGACTTTTTGAAAGGCGGTTTCTGAGAATTTCCGCTGCGATGTCACCTTTGAATTCTAGGTTCATGAAGAGAGTCTTCTTAGGAACCGTTGTGATATTTGACACCGGGGGCTTCTCCTTCATGTTTTTGTCGATGAATCTTGGCGGATACCCATTCTCTAGTAGGGTTTCACGCAATAAATTTAATTCTTTCTCCACCGTGTCTTCCGAGCAGATTTTTCTAATCCTTGAGCACAATGTACGTACCAAGTTTCTCTTTCGGGTCAGTGGAACAAAGCTCTGGAAGTTGATAAACTGTCCAGTCCATGTTGGCTTACGGTATATCGATCTTTGGATCGTACAGTCGTCTCTTCTGGTGAGTAATACATCGAGGAATGGAAATGCGTTGTTCGATTCGCGTTCTAAGGTGAATCTTATTGATGGATGCGCTGCGTTGGAGGTTTTCAGGAGGGAATCTAAATCACAATTTTCATCTCAGATTATAAATGTATCATCTACGTATCTCTTGTATAAGTGCAGTTTACTTATCAGGGGTTCAAGGATGTTGTTTCCAAGACTAGCCATGAAACAGTCGGCTAGGAGTGGACCGAGAGGAGACCCCATGGCTACTCCATCTTTCTGTACATAGAACTGTTCATTGAATTTGAACTGGATATTGAACGTGCATCTGAGAAGAAGTTCCTTCAGGTAGTTTATGGGGAGAGGAACTTCTATGTTGTTGGTTTCTATTTCATTACAAAAGAAGCATATTCTTTCAGTCAGGGGGATACTTGTGAATAGAGAGGCGACATCTAGTGAGATCATTTGTCTTTCATACACGTTGACGTCCTTCACTGAGTCGATGAAGTCAAATGTATCTTTGAGGCTATATTTTGTCATATGCCTTTTAACTGGTTCGAGGATATCAGCTAGCCACTTCGCGATTTGGTGATACGGTGAGTTAACCATGTCTATGACCAGTCAAAGTGGAACATTCTCTTTATGCACTTTCGGCAGTCTATACAGTCTTGGAATAGTTGAACTACATGGTTTTATTTTCTCATAAACCTCCGGTGTTATGACTGAATCTTCTTCCATTCTCTTCATGAATTTTGTAAGTAGGTTTTCTGTTCTTTCGGTTGTGTCTTTTTCGTTGGGTGATTCAAAGAATTTGGTTTTGTCTGATAGTATATTTGTCAATTTCTCATTATAATCGGATCTATTCATCACTACAATCCCACTGCCCTTATCAGGACGGAAAAGGATTGCTGTAACGGACTCATTTTCTCCATTCCTAGGGCTTGAGAATGAGAGGTGCTAGAATTCCCTAGAAGAATTTATCGTCACCCTTCGTTGTGGTATTTAAATTATGGGCACGTTAGGGAGTACTTAACAACGAAATTCATACTGATTATGTTATTATTTCAAAGCTTTATGGGACTGAAGATTGGAGCGGCAAATAATTCCCCAAAATTATTGACCACAGCAATCACTCATTGGATGCTGACCACCACTGTTTAAGTCGACTTGTTTAGCTGAAGGCTTCCGGTCAAGTATCCCCGCCATTTGGTACCCCGTCGTGTCACGTGCACGATCACTAGCCAGCTAAGCGTTCGTCTGAAAGCTTGTTTTGGTCCCGAAATATATCACTTAGTTTGGACGATCAATTATTGGCTTTTGCTTTGTTGTTGGTACGCGAGAATAAATTAATTACAAGTTACTGAACGGGATATCCATCAACCTCTAAAAGATGAAGTGTTACATAAATATTTCAGATGATAAATCTTCCCTAAAATCAAAGCATATATGCTTCTACATGAGTGCTAAAGCTTGGAAATGGCTGATGGATCATTTCTTCAGCATTCTTACAGAAGAAACTTAATTTTCTTAGTAATATTCCTCAACATATAATGTACCCCAGTTCTATTCATGATTTAGTCTACCGTGTACGTAGATATTGCACACCAGGGGTCTAAATAGCTGCTGAAAGATAATTTGAACTTAAGGTGCTTATTTCAGTTATTAGAAATAACTAGAAATAAGTGCCAGATATTTTGTTTAACCAGGTCAATATTCACTTTATGGATACTCTTCGGGCGTTCTTTTGAGTTTCCCGGGGTCCAAAGTAGAAATTTAGTAAGTACTTTATCACGTCAAATAAAGAGGTTTTTCGAAGTTTTTACGAACAAATAGTGATTCTACATATTTTTTAATTTGTGCGAATTATCATAATTATTGCTATTTGTTTGCAGGAAGTGTGTTCACATTAAACATTCAGACGTAGATCCGAAGCTTATTGAGTGTTAAATGTTAGTGCCAGTTTAGGTATATTCTTGCCAAACTGCTATCAGGTAAAAGTTTAATTCATCAAAGATCTTGTGTACTGTCTCTATGTGCGAATAAAAACAATTAGCATATAGTTTTATATTTCTTGATTTTCATGGAATTCATAGGTGTCATTATACATATTTGCATTATTCTGCTCAGAATGTCACATTAGTATGATATTCCTTGAATCTTCTCTAGTACGTGAATTTAACTAGCAAATATAATGTGCGTTATCTGGTATCAAAGAATTGTTAAATATTTAATTAATTAGTTCTTCAGATAATTAGATAGCTGTAGGAGGTTTTAGGAACGTAATTTTGAAAATTTCTGTGTGAAACAGTTGTGAACTCATCGGAAATGGGATGTATGTTATAATGGACTTATTTGCAAGCATTGAATTCAGCTTAATCAAAGTAGTACTATTTAACGTCCCACAGTATAAGCATGCATGTAGTTACTGCAGTAAATACATCACACTATTTAACTAAACTCTATTTATTAAAGTGGAAGACACAACGGTGAAATCTAATTATTTATTTTGTTCCACGAATAGTACAATACATGTAGTTCAACAATTTAAAAATAAGGTTTGATTTTAACCATTTGAGAGTAAACAGCGGTGACAGTTGGAAAAACGAAAAGGTTCACATCGAAAGTGAAAAAATGAGAATAAATAATCTGGATGTAAATCTTCCTTCACTGTTTAAAAGAAAATCTGTCACAGGTATTATATTCATCCTAAAATGGTATTTTGCATGTAGATCAACTACTTGTAGCGGTTTGTAATTTAACCTGAAAAATGTTAGGCGATATTTTTAACTGGCTCTCAAAGACTTGTGTCATCTCATTTCGTTTCTGTTTAGGTTTCTAAAATGCTATATATCATTCCATAGAGTAAAAATGTAGTTCAAGTATCACTATTCGGTGTTTAGAGTGCTTTAAATTTACATTTAAACCAATAACGATGTACTCGTTAGACCATTTTTCTTAAAATCACAAAGCTACTGTACAACTCACTTGTTAGCTTTCCTAGGAACACAACTATTTTAACTGTGAAATGTAATGAGTTGCAATGTCGCTTAATAAAAAAACATGGAACTGTCGATGCAAGCAATTGTCATACTAAGTGTTGTAGAACTGTCAGCAGTTTGACTTATGATTATATTGGATATAAAACAGCCTTAAAATATCCAGTTTGGTAGCGACATTTGGTATAAGGAAATGTTTTGGTCAAACACAGATTAATCCAGGAATTACGAATATTTTGTAAGGACTATGCATCGAAATCCAGCTCGTTTATTGCCTCTAAGTTATTAGCTGACTTGCAAACACTACCTTTTCGATGAATTAGGAAAAGAAAGTTAAGGATATATTCAGTAATATGTAACTTTAAAAATGATGCATTTAAACATAACTGTCTTCAGTACTGATACAATGATTGATTTTGAAGACTAACCGTTTGTTAGTAAGATATCCCAAAGGCTTTCATATGAATTCATTATAGGTTACCAATGGGAGTAAATATATTACAGCTACAAGAGAAGCTAATCTAGACAGAGTTTCTAAATCGCAAATCGATATTCATAAACATTGTAGAAGTAATGGAAGTAAGTACAACTGATTGTTGCAGAAGGCACAGTGAAACTGTGGTTATCACAAGTTAGTAGAATGAGACAAGATTTTTTGAATAATTTTTGGTATAAAAAGTCTGTGTTTATACTAAGGCTGAAACATGAGTGAGTGAAGTTAATGCAGCAGTGGACACTTCATATAAAATGCGTGAGATAAAGCAAGTGGAAAGGCTTTCCATTGTTTGGAACTTCTGAGCTTTACGCCTCATCCAGTATTCTCATAATATCTAACGTAGACTGAGATTTATTTACGTGTATTAAGAAAAACGCAACTCTTAAACGCATAGTCAAAAGCGATACCAAAATTTCTCACTTTATTTGAGGCCTAAGAAAGTTTAAATTGAAAATCTTCCTACTTAGCAGGGGTCTTTAAGTTAGAGATGACGTCCCACATAAGATTCTGAGTTCGTAGATGCCTGGGTTGTACAAAATTAACATCCTGGCACCTTTTATTATGGCAGACACTTCCAGAGGACAGGTCAGTGGGCTTCTACTTTCACCTGAAAATGGTCATTTAGATGTATTAACAGTCTCGTGACTACAGTCATTTAGGACTAGATTAAAGACAGCAACAACAGACTCAAAACGAAAACTGCTTTCTGTTTTGAAGGTGGCACTGAATAGCGAAATGTTCTGTTGCCAAGTCTTATAAATTCATTTGGTTAGTCCGCGTATACATACATACGTATACATATCATTCAAGCACACTTGACGAAAAACACATACTTCAGTTATTTAAGCTGTTCATATTAATAATTATCGTTCTTTTAAATATAAAACCACAAATAGTGAATGAATATACTTCAGAAACCTGAAGTATCATATAATGGATGATATATACGATAAGTGAAATTTAAAAGTAAATAAATAGACGTGAATTTTATCCCACATCTTGCAGAATACAATTCTGGAGAGCCTTATTTAACTTTTAACTTTATGCATACTCCGGGCGTAAAAGCAATTGAGTTAGCCAATATCTCTTTAGCCTAACGAGGCCTTAAACTTTTCAATTATAAAATTTATCTTGGTATTTTGAAAATTACTGTTTTCTTATAAAAAGTATGGTGAGGAAATGTGTTTTATTTATCTTTAAAATTCTGTTTGAATGATTTCTTGCGTTTCAGGTGCCTTACATAAATTGGTGTTCGTATAAATATATATGATGAAATGTTAAACATGAATAGGCGAACAGAGACGTTTTAAAATACTCACCTCATATCACCATTTATCCTTTATGTCAAAAATAAGTGTGTCCAAAGAGGTATCCACACCGACGGGTTCTACGATTGCTCGTCAACCCCTTGGGGGATGTGAATATCCCTCCCAAAGGGCTGACTCAGGAGTAAAAAGCAGCCTCTTCTCCCATCAACCCATTTGTTCAAAAAGTAGCACAATCGCTCAGATACCAGTATGGATTTCAACAACTTCTCGTCCGACATCAAGTGGTTTCAATGCTATGTCTCCAAGGGGAAGACGTACACTTTCTCCACCACAACCTCCACCTCTACCTCCTCCTCCTCCGAGTCCACAACTTGTGCCTTTGAAAGCTCGTTTAGCTAGATCTAAATCTACTGCCTCAAGGCCTGTAAGTAACCGTCCAGATTATGGCCAAAGACTTCGCAAGGCTAGTGATGGTGGAGCACCAACACGACTCACCAACTCAAGTTCAATCCGTCCAAGGTCTACCTCAGAAACGCGACCACAGAAAGAAATTAAAGAAAAAGTTACCGCGCCCAGTACTGGTAGGTTGTCATTCAGACTGTTTACGCTTGATATTATTTTATATTCCCTTGCTGAGGTGAACTCGTTTTTTTGAGTTAATGCAAGCCTTTTTAGTGTCTGGTCATTTTTTCTGTTACGTAGACACATTAAGACTCAATAGACTTCGTGAGAGACAAATATGAGAGCAACAAGCGGGTTTCAGATCAGAACTAGTGTAGACTACTCGGAATTTTACTCCTGGACAGCTAATGAAATGAACATACTAACTGGAGTTCAATATATTATATATATCTTATATACCTTATCTTTTTTGTCTTCTCCGACCAAGGAATTGAAGAAATGTGTGGCTTCATATGGAATCATGAGTAAGCAAGCTCACCTAGTCAAGAAATCCTACTCGAAATCACGCGGCTACTGATGAACTTCTCGGTGTTATCATCTGATATGACAAGAACCAGCAGTATCCGACGGTCATACCGACTGAAACCATTCTTATGTAGTCTTAACATAAGTGTACTGATGGGAGTCCATGTGACTCCAAAATCATATGAAATGATTCACGACTACACAAATATCTTTTAACTTAGAGTGAGCAAACGGTATATTTCTTAGATACTGTCGAAGACTGGCTTTCTAACACTCCAGGTAAAAGCCACGCGTTTAATATCCGTCAAATGTAAGTTTAAACTAGTTTGGTGATCACTCTGCTTACTAAGTATTTACAAGGACATAGAAACTTCATTTGAATTATGCTTTCTTGCATCATCTTTTGTGCCTAAGGGATATGTAGTTACTTGTAAGAGTATGTGTGGTATACTTCAGTTAGTTTCATTCCACCATATAGTAAGGTAGCTAAGCACATCGACCATTTAGTAAAATGTAAATTCGGCCGGAATACGAAATGTAAGGCTGTCAAATTTGTATGACTTTGCTCTAGTTCATTTAAGGGAAAATGACGGAGGAGGTATATTTAGACTGTAGACTAGAGAAGATTAGATTTCAAAGTTGTGTATACATATCTTTAAAATGTAATCACTATGCACTCATTAAGAAAATATAAGAGCTTTTATAGACTATATCAAAAATTGATATAAAGTTGTGTTCATTAGATAGCATATCTTGACAATTGGCTCCACAAATGACTGGTTGAATTCTATGCTTCATCATTTATTGAAGTAACTGGGTGGATTTCAAGTATCTTAAATGATCCTGCTTTCTGTACTAACTTATTGCAGATACACTGATAGTGAGCTAGGACCCATGTAAATCAAATGGCTGTATGGTACCCAAGATATCCAGACTTCACCAGAGAGTACTCTTAGCTGATTTTAGTGGTTTCCCGCTACTTTTATTAATCTGTAGTACATATTGCATAGCACTTGACTGTTGTTTCGAAAAATGACTCCGAAGACAACTTTATCAGAAAACAAAAGAATAATAAAGATCAGCTCAGTTTGGATAATAGTGGCACAGCGAATTAACCTTATTTAAAAAGTGTCTAAAAATCTAAACAGTAGTGCGGAATTCTCTGTAGTCCGGCGTATCATTTTCATTGGTGTACAGACTTACAAACTGGAAAAACGCTTTTCTACCTTCGCTTCAAGTTATCACACATAACGTATCAGGTATTGCATCTAATAAGAAATTAATTGATTGTGTACATTCAGGAAGATAACGCTTTTTTGTATATGATATTCATTTTCAAATACAGTAGTAGATTACTGTTTAGATTTATCTTCAGTATCTTTTCATTTTTTTCAGGGGATGTGGAAACAAGTGAGACGAGTCAAAATGTCCCAACAGTAAAACCGAGTGCTTTCCTTCCCATTGCTCACCCTACTGAACGCAGTCCTGTTTATGTTTGCCTTGCCAGTGTTGCATTTTTAAGTTTATCAGTATTAGTTACTAGTATATTTTCTACTATCTTTCTACCATTTTGCCTAATAGCTTGCCTTATACGACGTACTGGTATATGGCTTGCTAACGTCTTCCAATATACAACTTGCTGCCAGTGTGGAGGATTTATTATTTCCAAGAATACCCATCCTGTAATTGAGACGATAATAACGCGTTTGTCAGCTGGTATAATTTCTAGTCAAAGATGCAATTGTTATGCTGATACACAACTAGATAACCGTTGCAGTGAATCACTAAGAGCTCTTTCATCTGCTGAACTTAGATGGCTTCCAGCTCTTGAGTATAAGTGTGAGCATGACTGGGATGGAAAGAATAATGCTACTTTGTATTATTCTGGTCAGTCTCCTTTAGTGCTTATCTGCCTGAGATTCGGTGCGCCTGGATTGAAATTATCAAGGCTACGTGATTTGATCAGCACGCGTTTACTTACACAACCTTCTGAATGCTCATCATTGGCATCATCTCCTAGAGGTTCTTGTTTTACAGATAAGGCATGTTCAGATGTCAGTAAAAAACGCCGTGAGAGTTCGTATATTCCTCCTTCAGACACCCGATCACGTTTAACACAGTGTCTTACATTTTTATCAACGGGTTATGCATGGAGAGAATGTTTGGCATTTCAACTAGAAGAACATGTACTGCGTGTCCCTACCTCCATCTCAGTGAAGTCAGAAGTCAACTCAGAAAAACACTCAACGCATGCCTATGGAACAAAGTTTGATGATAAATATTCAACACATACTAAAATGATTAATGTGGAGGTTCTTCTCAACGAATTGAGCGCTCTACCGCTAAGACTTGATCGACCACTTTGGAAGGCTCATCTGATTGAGCAGTTCTGTGAGGTGAGATAGTTATTACTATTTGTAAAATAATATTATCTAAAATATGTCTTAACATTTCATGCTTTTTCATTTAAAATATTATGTCATTTTGGAGTAAGTGATGTAAATAGAAATTTACTGATCAGTAAGATTCTTCAATACTTTCATTGAGTACTAGTTACTAACTAGCGTTCAATTCAAGTATCCACTACAGTCCTACAGAAGGTCAATCTTGAACTGGAATAGTTCAGTGGTAATGCCTATGACTACAGCACTGGGTGATGGTTCTAATCTCAGAAGATATATGAGTTCCTTCAAGGGTGCAGATACGCCTTGCTGATGAATGCCAACTAACACGAAATCTAGGTCCAAAGCCCCTTACCAATTGCCTCCATCCATCTAATATCAAGATTGTCCCTTTTTCAATAAAACTCTTCAAACTTTCATACATTTGGTTCCCTTGATAAATTTTGATAGAGAAAGATATTTATATAAATATATATATATATATATATATATATATATATATATATATATATATATATATATATATATAACATAATTTCAAAAGATTCACGAATAAATGCAAATATACAAAGACTATACTATAGCTTCGTATAGCATTTCAAGAATATGATGACTAGCATTATTCTACGTGTAACAATCAGACAACATAAAAAGGTTTTATACAAATATTGACAGGGTTTAAAGCGTTTCAAAATAGGAAAAATACGTTCAGAATATCTTTTTTTCCGTAGATTTTGAACTTGTTAAATGCAAGCTGTAATCATGATTAGTACTTTTTTAAATAATAATATATTTTAACACAGGTGAGACATTTAAGCCCGTATATGTTTGTCGTGCTATACAATTTGTGAGATATTACTGTTGAGGCTGGATAGGTTGACAGATGATCTTCTGTGTTAAAAAACTAGTTGAACACTAGTTGAAGTAACTGTAGTGTGTTGCACATTTTCAGTTGGAGGTTTCTACTTATCCTATTTTGCTTTGATTAGAATAAATATCAGGAAGATATTGCATTACATGTCCTTAAAATGAATACATTTCTAATTTTATAAATAAAAGGAATTTGCCACTAGATTCATCCGTCCGCAGCAATCCGAATTAGAGAAAACGTAAAAATATGAAACAAAATAGATCCTATTAATGAAGCTATGTATCTGTTCCGTCTTATCTATGCCTTTTGTGCAATCATCTCCTCCCTCTTTTTTTCGGATATACTTTTGGTCTATTCTGTACTTGTCTTGTTGTCCCAGATTATGATAACAATAGGTGATAGAATGCTTTGAATTTAATTTTGCCTGGATGTATGCATATGTACTGATTTATTGTACCTGATCTCTTTGATCCCAGATGATACCACTCACGAATAGCTTTCTTTTAGCTGAACTTTTCGGTCTCACACCAACATTGGCTTTATTTTCACTAAATAAAATAGAGGTGAAACTTATTAATCACAGAATCAAAGCAACCAATTACCTACAGTTATGCGTAAGATTGGTTTTGTACAAGATAAATTAACCTTGGTTGAGTAGTTAAAGTCTACTTATTTCCTGCTTAATTTACTTCAGTGAGTTTTAATTTACAGTTTGCTATTTAAACTGGCAATTTGTAAACTACACAGCTCGGGTTGAAATTTAAGCATAATGTCTTCTGGAAACCAAAGTTATTTAAATCACAATATACGATCTGCTTCGGTGGCACAGAGGTTGGGACGCTCGATCCCGGCCAACGAACACCCGTTATCAATGGTCAGCCTGCACAATTTGGGCTCCCGATATCACATGCTGAAAATTCCATACTTGTATCAAAAATACTGTGTGGAGTCAAGCTATAATAAAAGAAATAAATTAAAATAAAATATATCATAATTGCTAATCACGAAAACAAGCACAAAAGCACGGTGATATATACTACTGACTGGTTGATAAAAGTAGTTGAATTAGTTGTTTTGTAAATATGAAAACTAAGATGGCTTTGTTTACTACTCAAAAAATGAGCTACATAATAGTAATAATAATGATCTGCTTTTATTCCAAAACAACACTTATGATACAGTGTGGAAATCTCGGCATTTGACACAATATTGTATCTACTTCGCTCAACAACAACAACGACAAAAACATTACAGGATATAGGTAACTAAAACTGATATTCTCAACTTTTTGGCATTAACAGTAACAATATAGTTAAAAATATACAAAAAGTATAAAATTGGTAATAATAATATTAATAAATAAAATTGTAAGACAACTGAGATGATGTCACCGTAAATTACAAACAGAAGATCAAAGAGCTATTTATTTTGTAAGTTTTAAGGTTCACGCTTAACCCCATCTGTATCATACGGAACGCGGGTGAGATAAAAGATCGTTGAGCTTTTGTACTAAATTGTGTGTGCATATAATCTTTTACTATGGCTTTTAGTCCTACCTGAAGAGATGCCAAAGGAGATTTGTGAATAAAGAGGGTACCTAGAGTCAGACAATGTAGATTTAGACTATTTCTCACATGAGCTCAGGTGTCTGTCAACTACAGTACAGTAGTAACGAGCTGGTTTAACAACACACCACGTGTCCTGCTGGTAACCTTTAATGCCCTGCGCAGTGTGACACATTCCTTTTTGAATAGCCGAGGAAAGACTAAGCGGGGTTAGAAAAGTACGATAGGCAAGGTTCAACAGTTAACAAACTGTAAAACTTTAGGTTGAGTGATTCCTGATCAACTTAACCTCTTAATTCAGTTGGTTAGAAGGCACTTTCCCCTAGAAATAGATAAAAAAACGGGATGAGTAAGAAAGATTAGAGAACAAAACTATTCCAAGGTATTTTATGCTTGATTTAGTTTCTATCTCAGTTCTCTCCAAGCTACAAACATCTTGTGAACGAACAAGTTTGTCTGGATCACGTTTATGCCTGAAGGTGAAGTAAACTGTCTGATATTTGGAGGGATTTAACGTAAGACCATTGGGCTCGGATCACTGGCTCATCTCCGATAAAAAGTTGTTAGGTTTGGAGCAGTCAGCGCAACAAGATAGTTAGATGGTCAGCATATTCAACGAAGTTGATTTCTTACGAAAGAGGCAAGTCAAGTAGGAAGAAAGAGAAAAGAAGAGGAGAGAGAACAGCCCCTTTAGAGACACAAGCTCCAGTAAGTAAGGCCGAGGAAGATTTTCCTTTACATACAATATACTGCAACTAGTTAACAGTCCAGGACTCAGGTTGTATCTTGTAAAGCTTATTTAATAGAAGGCATCTGGGAACAGAGTCATAAGCGGATGTGTAGTCAAGGTAGCTCAATCGAACGTATTTGACTCCTTTGTCTAAACAGAAAACAGTCTTATGGTGTAAGATAGCGGCATTTCAGGTAAATCTACCCTGTTTATTTGCATACTGTTTAAGGTCATTAAAAATTTTTAACGAAGGTTCAAGGTTGAGTAAAAGTAATTTTTCAATTAACCATAACAACGGAGAAGTAATTGCAATAGGTTTGAATTTAACATTTCCACCAGTACATGATTTAGTTACCGGTAAAATTTTAATGTCTTACCATGCTGTGGGTACAACATTACTGGAAAAATAAGATTTGAAAATGTTCGTGGTAGGATAACATAAAATATCCGCACATCTTCGGAGAACAGCAGGCACACTATGAAGACCGAGGCTTTGGAGAGGTTTTAGAGATTTAAGACATTTAGGAACATCAAAATTATTAAAACTACGAAGCTTACTAACTTTATGATTTGTATCATTAGGAATGAAACCGTCAGCAGGAGAGCGTATGAAAGACCTGTTAAGAATATTTACATCAAAAGATGAAATGATGATAAATAGAAAATATCCTGAAGTTAACTTTAATATTTTTTAAGTCACTGTAAGTTTCGTCCGTGGACACGTGAAACCAATCTGTTGGTATCCTAAGAAACAAGCTAACTGTTCTGTGTTTTAGCTGTTGAGTATCATATTCCTCCGTACAAATTATTCAAGATTATCAGATACAAAAGTCATGCTTAAAAATATAAGAATTTTATGGATGATATTCTACTGTATAAATTAAAAAGCCATCTTGTAATGTGAATGTTTACTTTACAGTTATTATTATCGATTGCAACAGCACTTGAAAAACTCAATCCCTGCATAGTTGAAAAGTTAAATATTCGAGTTTGACTGAATTTAAATAACATTTTAGAAACTATATGACCTAGGTAGTTGTCTATGGAGAAAATGCAACATAACTAATATTTTTTGAAAAAATGCGGAATTTATAAGGGCTGCTTTGGTTCTTGAATTTCCCATCGATATATCTGCCTGCATGTGGGATCCTGAAGAAGATGCCTAGACATTATCAGGATTAAGAACTTAGAGGCGCTTGTAGTCCTGGCTGTTCACATATTCTATAGATGGTGATGGGTTGAAAAAATAGCCAGCTGCAAAGTAAAACACTCACATTCCCTTGAAGTCACGATAGTATATATAGCCTATTATATCAAAACCCTTATAGTCTCTGATTGTAAATCATAGTCTGCGAAATTTTCATTGAATAGTTGGTACTGAATCAGATTTGGTCAGCCCATATCATCACTTTTTAAAATATACATTATAAGATACATTAATATGCACCTATACTACTATTTATTTATTTAAATATTCAAAATTGTTTATATCAAAACTTGTTCAATGCAGCGAAATTCTATTCTTTTAAAGTAAAAAGTTCGCTTTTACTACTTACTTTTTGCTTGTTGTTTTTGGTGCATAACATTGTGTGCATTATACTAGGCTCTTTTCTAACTTGATTAGTTTAAGGAAGAATCACGTTTTCATGGTTATTTTTTGTGTTTTACGAATGATCTTTTCTCCCTTAGGTTTCAGCATATGCATACAATAACTTCATAGAAAGTGTACCATTTCGTTTTACAGATCGTTTATGCATTATTTCTTAAATATTAAGAAATATAAAACTAAAATTATCCCTGAACAGTAATATAACCTAAAGACTTTTCA